GCACCATATGGTACATCAAGCATGGAGAAAGTCCATTTGCTTAGTTTTGTTGCAGGAGAAGGGTGACCTGAGGCAAGCAAATTACAACCTCTGGAAGGCACTGTAGTGAGATTCTGGTTTAACCCTTTGACTTCATCACTGACTTCATTTTCCTGCAGAAAGGTGGGTTTTCTGAAACTCTTTAGTTTGACACCACTTTTATGTCAACTGCTCCTGCTCTTCACTGTAAATACACTCTGAACCTCCTGGTCTGTATATACTGCTGTACATCTTCACCATTCCATGCTACAAAACAGCAAAAAGTTGGCATGTATATAATTGGGTTTTGCATAAAATATGTGTGACCGGGCTATATGTATTTACCAAGTTTACTAGTTCAGGCTGAGGGAAAGAACCCTCCACAAAAGCATGCCTTTTTCTGAAGTAACAGGGTTTGATTCAGAGTCCTGAGTTCTGCCTGATAATAAATGTGAGGTTTAGGTAACTGTTTCAAATGGGGATTTATGCTTGCTTTATACTATTGGATAAGGAAGGCCTAACTTTTATTCTGTGCTGGCTTGTAGTCACTACCCATTTTGAGACTGACTAGTTTAGCTTAGAGGGCTTCTTGAGAGGACTGTACCTTAAAGGAAGAGAGACAGTTACTGTCTCTTTAACAACTTTTTTTTTTACGAATTGATCCTCAAAGGCAAGCAGCTGTTAACATTTAAGAAGATTCCATCTTCTGACAGAAAACAGCTATTGCCAGCTTTCAAATGATACCTGAAGCTCTGAAAGTCTAATCAGCTGGAATCAATTAATATTGTAATAGTTTTTATTACTATATGTACATTTCTAACTTGTGTTACTAAGATAATAACCTGAAAATGTAAATTTACAGCTGAGAATGCATAAACACCAAATTTAAGTTAAAACAACAAAATGACCTTAAGAGCTTTTTTTAGTAAACTGCAGTATTTTTTTTTTTTTTTTTTGGAGGGGTTCTTTCTTGTGGCTTCTTGGCATTCTTGTCTTAGGCTATTCTGAAATCCTTTATGGTTTCAATTGTGTGACTTAGATATTCTAGTTTTCTTCAGCTTGTGCTACCATTTTACCATTTCCCTAGGGATGTTCCATATACTCCTAAAATCAGGAAGGGTTTGAATTTGTGTGCACTATTAAAACTTTAGGTTCTATTCTTCATAAAGAAGTTTTTTTAAAAGACAAAATGAATTGTGACCTCTCATCTATCCACATGCCCTTACCTATGTGTTTCAGCCTCAGATTGACATAGGAGCTACTTCTTTTTTTTTCTCCTCTCTTCAGGGAACTTTGTTCTGTGGTAAGGTAAGCAGATCCTTACATTAACAGTTTTGTTCATTTTACCTCTTGAATATGGTATCCCTAGGAAGATGCTATGAAACTACTTGGAAACTTGTGCATTCAGTATGAAGAAGAGATGGGGAAGGAGCATGGACCTCTTAGTACATCCAATTAAGCCATTTTTGTTTCAGAAAGCAACCTCATAGAAACCAGACTGAGAAAAGCAGTCTTCCTGCTCAAGCCAAAATTTGACACTGCTCCTTGTCAAAACATCCTAAGATCTGGATAAAAGCAAGATTCAGGGTCCTGTCTTTGAAAATCATGCTGTGTTCACTTGATCACTGTTTGGTCCTTGTTCCTGGATGACATACTCCATGACTCTACCTCTATTTTGCTTGAATTTCATGAGTTGCAGTGCACACAGGTCTGAAATTTGCTCTTCACTTTCTGGGAGAAGACAGTTTAGATATGGTGTTAATCAATGGCATCACTTTAATTTTCCAGGGTGCTGATATCAAAAGTGTTTTGTCCTTTTAGACAAGATGTCAGAGTTATGTGGATGGGGAGACTTGATTCTTTTAGAAATTCCCATTCCATGGGTGGTCTGATCTTACTTAGAAGCTGGGACTTCATGGTGGAGGTTACACTGTAGGGAGGTACTTCTCTGTGCATCTGCCCCATCTTCTAGTTCAGCTCTTTGCCCCCTCCCCATCTGATCACATAGACACAGCAGCTCTACTATGGCATTCTGGTGGGCAATGCTCCTTATTTTCTTCAGCAGAGAAGAGGGAGGAAGAAGACTCATTCAGGTCCAACCCTTTTCTTTCCTTGCTCCTAGAGCACAGCAACTGTGCAAGTTGCAACATCCACATTTTACAGGGACTGCAGCAGGAAAGGAGACACATGTCTTCCCAGTGGGGCTGCACAGCACAGCCTGTTGCAGAATGGGGCACAGGGGAAGGTACTGCTGGATAGCATGTGTAGATTTCAGTTTAATATCTTTTTTTTGTTCCCTTTTCCCTTTTGTAAAATAAAAGTTGATGTTCCATAATTTTCCTTCTTAATGTATCTCCTGACAAATTATAAATTTCTGGGCTGAGTAGCCTAGAACCCAGGAATATTTAGTGTATCACTGGTTTCAGCATGTTCTGCTCACAGATCACTCTAGATACCAGTGTCAGGCAGCTAATAGGTTTTTTTTAATGTGGACAGAATGAACACAAAAATATATGAAGTCCACTTTAACACTTTACTCTTCCCATCTGGAATGCTTTGTGGAGTCAGCATGTACTGGTTTGGCCCCTTGCAGAGTTTGGCTGAACTCCTCTGGTGCTCTTCTGAGCTGTCCCCGCTGTCATCCAGGTGTGTTTTCCCTTTCAAATAGTGATTTCTCAAATGTATGTCAAATGTGTTACAAAGAACTTTACAATTGCTACAGAACGTCCAACCCCATATTTTGCTGTTATGCTAAACACAGAATTTTTATTTTCAAATGCAAGGAAACAAAATTGAGATATAAATGTAAATGCACAATTTCCTCAAAGCAAAACCAGAGATATCTAAACTGAAGGTCTCAATACAAAATCTGGCTTAAGAATGTTTCTTTTTTTCTTTCATAATCGTTTTTGGTTTTACATTCTGTAGAAGGAACAGCAGTAGGTCTGCACTGTTGAACATTCAACATATATGCAATGTGGTCGAGGTAATTTTGCTTCTGGAACTTCTATTTTCGGATTATTTATTTATTTAAATGTAGCAACACTGGGGTGGTGATTCAGATCTGTTGGATATAGAGTAGTATTTGTTGTTCTATAGACTGAATACTCTAATTCAGAGTGTCTTGCATTTCTACCTTTTAACTATGCACTGGCCTGCAGTATGTGATTAACTGTAGTAGAGTTTCATGAATTCTGGATGACAGATATTCCCTGCTCTAGAATGTTGATCTGTCCTGTCAAGAGGAACTAAATGAAGGTCTATAGCCTGATGCTACTGAGGGATGACAAAACATGGAAACAGGATGCTGAATTAGTAGTGACATGGCAGTTTGAATTCTATTTTGTGAAGAACAAATTTGAATACTTGTGAAACATTTTCAGTCTGCAATGAACAGATCCTTTCAAAACAGGTCATTTTAATAGGGTGGGTTATCAGAACTGGAATGCTAACTTGTAAACCTCCATGACTTGGAGCTTATTTCCCAGCTGAAGTATTTTCCATTTCAAGCATTACTGTTTTGGTAACTTATTTGTAGTAGTTTTTGTATGTTCTATGTTCAAAGAAAAGAGTAAAACTTAAATTAATTTACATTTAATACAAGCTGGCTTCTTGGTTTATTACAGTGGCTTCTCCAAACAAAGCATCTGTAGGAAAATGTATTACCGAGGGGTAAAGCCAGGGAAGCTATACCAGAACAGATGTAATGAAAACACAGCTGGCTTCTCTGTTTTATGGAGAAGATTGCAAAGATCTTATCATGGGTTGTCCTGTAGCAGTTTAAATCTTGGATTGTCTGTCTCGTGAGACACTATAATTGTGTTACTCAGTAATATGGATCTGTAAGCTGACAAAGAGTGTAACTGGGATTTGTTTTGATTACCAACATTACGATGCTCCAATGTGTCTTTGGGTTTGGCTGTGGCCAGATTGGTTGGAGAAAATGTAACTGTGCATGTTTACTAGAGATATGTATGAAAACAACTGACTGAAACAACTTCTTTCTTCTTTTTCTGCTCAGCAAAAAAAGATAGTTTGGACCCAGCTTCCATTGCAGGGCAATTCAGTGCAGGAGTAGGAACTGCTGATTACACTCTTCGTGGCTTAATTCTTGAGAGTCCCAGTTCTTACTGTGTTTTATCTGTCTTATTGTGTGTAATTCCTAAAGAAGGTTAGCTGGAAATCCTTTAAAATGTCAAAGATTAAACTAAAAAAAGCAGAGAAACAATAGTGTAGTTGTTTTTGTTCCACCCACATTACTGGATAAGAACTTCCTGAGATCTATTTTCAGGTTTTCCATAGACAAAAATGACTTTTTGTCACTTTGAAGATACTATGGCACCAGCTATGCAGAATTCTCAAAATGGAATACATTGTGTTAATTATGCTTGGGCTCAAGTTGGAAATTAATCTGAATTCTGGCAGCGTTAGAATTTGAGAAGTAAAGGGGCTCAGATTTCTTGCTAGTCTCTTGAATTAAAAAGTAGTCCCATCATTGCCTTGCAAAGCTAAGTCAGATGCTCTCTTCCAATATCTCCCTGGGGACTTCTGTGTACTGAGAATCTCTGGAAAACAGGCCATTTTCTTCAGTTGCAGAAATAAAGATTTAGAAATAGACCTTCAGCTGCATCATTGCTGCAGGTTGCAATCAGGAATTAAAGAGTAAAGGAAGAGTAGATGTAATGTGAGATGAAATTTTTGCAAGGGATAATTAGTTATGGAAAGCAAGGAGAAACACCTATGCATGCTCTGAGTATTGTTATTTCAGAGGAAAGCCCATTTGTTCAGAAGTGTCCCATGTGAGAGAAAGGACAGGTGAGGTGGGTGCATGACCAGATCAATCTTTTCTTGCTCAGAAGTGTGGAAAGGACATGGGCTCTGTGGAAGAGTGGGTTTTAAATTTTCTATATGTTGTGTTTATCTTGTTTTCCTTACCCTTTTTGTTACATTTCCTCTTTCACTGTTGTTTGTGTTCCTTACAGGGTTTGATACTACTTCAAGGCAATCAGGTGAATGAGCTGCTACCTAATCCTGATGAACCAGGGAAACATCTCTTTGAAATTGCCCCAGGTAGGCCAGCATTTCCTTGTACTTTCAACATAGCATCATCTCATTCCCATCAGTTGTCATTTAATGATAATTGAACTGTACTGATCACTTCTAATCATTCTGATAGACTACCCATATTATCTAGAGAGCCTGGGAAACAGGACTTGACAGACTCCTAAGTGTTCTTTGTTATAGATTTAGCATGTTACCTCATGAAAACAGTAGCTGCGATGCCTCACGCTCCTTGATTTTTCTGTTTGGAGGGCGTTCCTTACCTGGAGTGCTGTGTGGTCTACCAAGCTGATGTGTTTTTCTGGTGGTTATGGGAGAAGCTGACAGAGCACAGCACAGAACTTATGCAAAAAGGGTGTGCAGTAACTGGATTTAATTTCTTTCATGTATACTAGTCCCCCCCCCCCCCAGTTGGAAGTGGAGGCGGTGGGAAGTTTCAAATTGTCTCACTTCTGGATAAAAAGAGAATAGGTGACCTGCCATGGAAGAGAAGTTGAAATTTTGTTAGGTAGAAAATCTAATGATATGTCAGCGTAGTCTTAATGTAAAACTCTTGAAATCATTTTAGTTTCCATGTAAATGTTTCCTGTGGACTATCTTGGTATCTCCAGAATACATCTACAATTAAGTTCACTGTTGCAGCATAGGAGCAATTGTATTCACTTTATTCAGTGCTGATTTTAGTTGGGAGAGATCGTCCTTGTGCATAGATTTGAATGAACTATATTTTGGAGGTAATTTCAGATGGCAGGATCTACAGAGAAGAAAGGTGTTGCACCACTAACAGTGTTAAAGGAGTGAGAAAGATGAAGCAGGTTAGTCCTTCCACAGCTATCTCTCAATACCTGAAGACTGAGTTCCTGGAAACAAGGAGGAAGACAAATGTGTCTATGGTAAAAATTATGTGAGTGCACTGACTCAGTCACACCTTACTTCACAGCAAATTTCTCCTGCATGGACTACTGGTCCATGCTTCTTAGTATTGTCTGTTTCCCCACAGCACTGGTGCTGTTGATGGGTAAATAAAAGTAATTACATTAGGCTGCCTTTTTTTTTTTTTTTTGTTAATGGAATGGACACTTGTCCCTGTAGTTGAATGTTACTGTTGTGAAGGCAGGTGTGCTTTTACCTGTGTCTTTGTGGTGTTTTTCTTACTGCTAATCAGTCTGGTTTAAAATACCTATGTTGCCCACTCTTCTTGACCCAGTATCAGGCAGTGCTGCAAGGTTTTCAATTCCACCAGCAGGCAAGGTTTTGCAGTAACTCAGTCACAGCATCCTGTTTGACATACAGGAAGCTGCTTAGGGAGAAGACATTTATTTTTGTTTTCTCTTTATCACTGCATACTGTCTGTTAATACCTCCTTTTTCTTATACTGTACCATGCCCTCAAAGACAGGGCCCCACAAACAGCAGAACATTGGGGTCACAGTGTTTCTTGTGTGGAAGATCTCCTAGGAAGTGGCATTCACTGTCTGAATGTGACACATCTTCTGCACTATTTTCCAAAGACTGTGTACCATACTGTTGTAGAAGGACTGTGAACCTGGGATGTGAAAACTGGATTGTGTGGTTGTGATTGTGAATAATCCCATGTGTTCTGGCAGTGATCTGAAATCATTAACTGAGCCACGGTCTGTCTTGGTTTGAGTTTCCTGCAAATTTGAATTTGCCCTCTGGTTCCAGGTAGGGAAAATAGTAATTTTGCACTTCTTTCCCAACCTGTCAGTTTATGTTACTGTAGACTGCAAAAGAATTGTCCTGAATTACAGCTGGTTGTTGCTTCAGTGGAGTTGGTAAAGCAATGCCATGTGGCTACATGCAAGAGGCTATCCAGAAGGGTGGAAACAGTCGACACTGTTCACAGCATTGTTGTGAATCCCAGGATGTTCATGTTCAGCTTGTGGTTTTGACGTTGCCCTTCCATGTGTTCCCTAGAAAAATGATTCAGACTTAGCTTACCACTGTCCTGACAGCAGAATTGAGATGCTTTCCCTACCTTGTGGAGCTAAATCCATTCATGTTTGTAGCAAGCTTAGTTGCTACATGGATAGCAAGTATTGAAAAATGCTATAAATAGCCAGTCGATACAGAAGGTGACTCAGTACAGATGTCACTCGAGAATGCAGACTGAAGAGTTCCCCATTCTGTTTACAATTGTTATGTGCTGGTTTTGGCATAAATACCTTTTCTTTTTTGCATGTGTTCTGAAATGACTGTGTTCTGTATGGTTGCCAGCCTGCAGAACACCCACATAGTGAACAGCTCTTAAACAGGTGCCGGATAGGAAGGGGAGCACAATTGATCTTGTAGGACCCAAATCATTATTTTCCATCACTTCCTGTCTTCTCCTCTATTGGATGTAAGGCTATGATCATATCTGCCTAACTCTGACTCAGTTCCCCACTGTAAACTAGAACTAGATAGTTTCTACAGGGATGATAATTTTTTTTTTTTTTTTTATCGTCTAAATTGAGGATCTTGTGCATACAGGTACATTACATAGTTGTAAATATGGATATGGGATTTTACTGTGCTTGTAAGCAGCAGGGCTTTAACTAACAAAACTAATAACAGAGTACAGCATTCCTAAAATGTTCCCATAGTGTCCTGATAGTAGCTTATCTGGCAAAGACAGGAGGCTGAGATCTCCCAGTAAGGAAATGTCCAAATCTTTCTAATGTCTGTGGTACCAGTTACCTCCAAAAACCTATTTCATGAGCAATAGCTTAAGGCTTTCAGCATCATCATTGCTGGGATCCTCCCACCTTTCCTTTGCTGCAGGCTGTGTAAAGCTTGGCTGTGGGAGCTGCTTCCTCAGTGCAGGGACTGGAGTAACAGCATGTCCTGCACTGTAATAGAGCATGTATTGATTTTCTACTGAGTAACAAGAACTAATGATGGTCATTGTGTATTATTCATGTTTCCTCAAGTTAACTTCTAAGCTGTGTAGTGCAGCTGGGAACAGTGTTAACTAGGGACATGAGAGACTGCATAAGGGTTCTACAAATCAGTGTTAGACCTGGTAGCAGGAGTTCCTGAAGTACCTCCTTTGGCAGAGATGTTCTCTGTCCTCTTTTTCTGGAGAAACTATGTGAATTTCTGGACTCTTTTTAACCCATTTATGCTTTTCTCCCTTACAGCTAGTGAAGTTCAGACTGGAGTAGCAGAGTAAACTGTGGGCTCAAGTTGCTCTTCTGTCCCAGTGTACATTAGCAGGGGTGAGGGGGAAGTTTTTATAAAATTATCAGGGTAGTATGAGGTGAAGTGCATAACTTTAACCATTTGGGGTAATCATTGCATAACAGTTGGTATTTCTGGGTGGAAGTAACCACAGTATGTTGCTTGGGAAAGGAGTCCAAATCTGTTAACAGAAGCAGCATCTGACTGATCACTAGGGGCAACAAATCAAGCAAGCGTTAGTCTGGGATTACAGTGTGTTTCAGAGTGGTGTAATGCAATGTGTAAGAAGCACAGGGACTGATCTCTCAGAATGTTTTAAGGAATATTGATGGCTTAAATGCTCCTGGGGTGTAACCTCTTAGAAAGCTGATGCTTTTAATGCTCTGTGGTAAATGGTCTGACCAGTTTTACTCTCTGGTCTTTGCAGCACTGTGAGATCACATGTTTGAGTTTCTTTGCAGTCAGAGATAATTCTCTGATATAGTAAAGTTTTCAGAGTCAAGGAAGAGAGTGGTAAAAAGGTTCAGAAGTTAGGAGGTGAAAGACATTGTCTTTTGATAGGTATGGCAAGGGTTATTACTAAATGATTGGAGATTTTCTTTGTAGAAAACTTGGTGGCTTTTAAGGAGATTTTTCTATTCTACTTCAGAATAGATTCAATTGATCTTTTCATGGAGAGTAAAAGGAGAAAGATAAAAACATGAAATTTTCTATGGTTTACCTGGTACCTCTCTGGATAATGTCTTCTCTTGTGTGGCAGGAGAACCAGGTTTCTATTCCACTGGGTTTAGACCAGGAACCTGAACCTGTCAGCTGCATAGTGGTCAAGTACCATCAGTGACTACTGTCTGTTTTTTTTTTTTTTTCTGAGAAAGATGTTTTTGTTTCATTTTTTACTATGAAATCATTTTAGAGTAATGCTTTTGTCCAAAGAAAATGTGCCCTTTTCTATTTCAACAAACTGGTATGTTATGGTTGAAACCAGTCCTGCTGAAAAATTCCTGTCCAAAACTCATGGTACACATCTTGATGTCTCCTTATCACTGATGACAGCTAGCTCCTGCTTCTTGCCACAATGCTTTTTGTCAGGGTCAACAGTGTCAGCTCTTAGCTAAGTCTTTCTATGAAAATGAGAGCAGTTTTGTGATAAGTTTAATTTGAATTTACTGGAAACTGTTGCTGAAGTGGTAGATCTTGTTTTCTCCCTTTCCTTTTGGCTTCTTCCTCAACAGCTAATCACATCTCTTAATTCAGGTCTTATGATTGAAAAAACAGTTTTCAAACCAGTTGGAGTTCAGGTCGATCCAACTAAGCTTGATGAAAACTGCACCTTCAGACTGCTTTTTGTGCTCCTGATTGAGATAACAACACCAGCCTTCTCTTTAGTAAGGCAGATCAGTCTTCTTCAGAACCGTTGTCTCTGGCTTTTTGCAGACACAGCCAGAGCAAAAATGATTGCCTATGCTTGATTTACATGTAGAAGGTTTTTTTCAGAACTCTTGAAGTCAGAGCTCTGTGGCATGCTCTTCAATTAATTATAAAGACTGAGCTCAATATAGACAGCTTGCCCGTACAAAAGGTGCCTGTGCTCCACAGTGACTCCTTTAAAGTCGGACTGATGGTTCTGCCAGAAGTTAGGCTGGGGTGGAGTAAAATGCCTCATCCAGGAACTTTTGTGCAGGGTTCATGTAGAAGCTATTTCACAGCCTTGTTTGTGCAATACAAGAAGTAGGAAATCAAGAAAGGTGGAATCAGGTTGGAGTCCTAACTCTTACAGGGACCGTAATTGTTGACTACTTCTTCTATAGGGAGTCTGTCAGTGTTGTT